AACACCTATTTGTGTGTACGAGTCAAGGGTGTGTAGGGGTTAGGGGCAATTGTATAACGAGGGGGTATCTTCTAAACGGTTCTTTGTCCATTTATAAGACTTATAAGACACCCTAAACCGTCCCAAATACAAGACAACCCAAGCATTTTTGGCCGTGTACGAGATAAGACATATATGTCTTACATCCGGGCGATGACGGTACCACTACTCGTTCTCATCAAACGAACCTGTCTCAGTTCCATCAGCTACCGGCTTTCTCCGCCGGTTCAGCTCCATCCCAAGCGCCATGCACGCAATCATGCCAGCAATGGGCAGCGAAACCGCCAGAGCCACAGTAAGCGCACTCATGCCACTCTGCACCGGGGGGGGCGGCGGGATGGGCGGCAGGGGAAGCGGTGGGAGGTCCACGCGGAGAACGTAGGGAGCAAAGGCGGCGGGGAGGGGGCCGGCTATGGAGGCGGCTGCGAGGGCGAGAGTGGCGGCTGGGTCAGAGTTGTTTTTTATCGGCAGGAGGCCTGAGGGGTCGGAGGCGATGGGGAGCTGGTGCACGGAGGTGGAGGACCAGGCTGAGCCGTCCCACCGTGCCACTCCTAGCTCTGTGAGGGACAGACGCAGCGCACAAGTCATGGCATTAGCAGTGCAGAGGAGTAAGAAAAAAACCAGGACCCATGGAGCATTGCATGGGCGAGAAGAAAGCGCATGGAAAAGAAGGCATGGAGCGGAGCAAAGAGAAGGTGACATGCACAGACAGGGATGGTGATGTGACGCACCCATGGCAGGCTGTGGGGAAGAGAGCATGCTGACACACGCCGACACGTTGAGGTCCGAGAGAGATGCGTCCACTGCCCTCACCACCACTGGCGGCCCCACCACTCGACTGCAGGGGCGAGAGAGAGCAGATGAAAGGAGGGGGTGGAACCCCATGAGTCGTGGGAGTTGGCCTTGGTATGGGATGGTCTCACGGAGTAGATTGGCGTTTTGTGTTGTGCAAGGTAGGATACACGATGGCCATGGCACATGAATGGATGCAATCGTTGGAAGACATATGTCTTGCTTCAAGCATCGGACGATTTAGTGCCAGGTGGTCAGACGGGCGTCCGTGGCGTTGAGTGCAGATGAAAGGAGGGTCTGATTCCACTAGTTGTGGAGGTTTTGTTGGTGTAGAGTGGTCTCATGCAGGGTAGCACACACTGCCCCCATGGCACATGAATGAATACAATTCCTGAGAGACAATCTCTCTTGCTTGCTCCATGCAACGGACGACTCGGAAGATGACCTAACAGCAGCAGGTAGAAAAGAAAGACATTTGAAAACAAGGAAAAAGCTCGGTGGGATTTCGACCAGCATGGGATGAACAAACGAGTGGCAGCAACAGCAGCACACGCACCTTGAGAGGCCGAGCGGGTGGTTAGCAGAGAAGGCGTAGAAGGCAGCGATGTAGGCCGTGCCGGTGGGCAGACGGGCGTCCGTGGCGTTCAGTGCGAGCGAGGCAGCTGGCAGCAGTGCTGCGAACTCGCCCTGCTGTGATGGCGATGCCATGCGGCGCACTGCAGTGGGGGAAAGGGGAGGGGGAGGGGGAGGGGGAGGGGAAGGGAAAACAGGGTGAATGGTGGAAGGGATATGGGGTTTGGAAGGCAGGTTGAGAGAAACTCAAGGTGGTGGAAGGGAAGGAGAGGTGGTGCAATGCACTGGACGGCTTCAAGAGGTGAAGAGAAAGCGAGCAGCGAGAGTCCAGAGAGGGTTGGTTCGGGCCCTTGAGTCCAGAGAGGGTTGGTTCGGGCCCTTGAGTCCAGAGAGGGTTGGTTCGGGCCCTTGAGTCCAGAGAGGGTTGGTTCGGGCCCTTGAGTAGGTAAGGAAGACGCAGACAGCTTAACGAGAAGCACCTTTAGCGGCGGAGAGGTTGACATTGGTGGAGGAGGCTTGGAAGACTGCGCCTGGCGTCTGATGGGACAGCACTGCCGCCGCCACCCTGCCTGGCAGCTGGAATAGTGTTGTAGCAGCTGGTTGCGGCGCGGAGGGAGTTTGAGAGGGGGAGGCAGGTTGAGAGGCGGTGACTTGAAGGGCGATGGTGCGTTGAGAGGGGGAAGCAGGTTGAGGGGGGGCGGCGGCTGATGTGGGAGAGGCATTCTGGGTGGCAGGAGCGGCAGCGGTGGTGGCAGGAGCAGCGGAGGAGGTAGAGGCTACGGGTGGGGGGGAGAGTGCGAGGAGGTCGGACGTGAGCGTGACTATGCACTGCGGGGTGGACGGAAGGGGGAGAGGGGGACAGGTGTTGGGGCGCATGGGAAGAGGAGTCAATGCGAGGTGAGGTGAGGAGCAGGGTGAAATGGAGTGGTGAGGGGAGCAGCAGCAGTGGCAGTGAGTGAGGGGTCTCGTGGATAGGATGATGCATGCATGTGAGGGGTCTCGTGGATAGGATGATGCATCCATGTGAGGGGTCTCGTGGATAGGATGATGCATGCATGTGAGGGGTCTCGTGGATAGGATGATGCATGCATGTGAGGGTGTCGTGGATAGGATGATGCATGCATGTGAGGGGACTCGTGGATAGGATGATGCATGCATGTGAGGGGTCTCGTGGATAGGATGATGCATGCATGTGAGGGGTCTCGTGGATAGGATGATGCATGCATGTGAGGGGTCTCGTGGATAGGATGATGCATGCATGTGAGGGGACTCGTGGATAGGATGATGCATGCATGTGAGGGGTCTCGTGGATAGGATGATGCATGCATGTGAGGGGTCTCGTGGATAGGATGATGCATGCATGTGAGGGGTCTCGTGGATAGGATGATGCATGCATGTGAGGGGTCTCGTGGATAGGATGATGCATGCATGTGAGGGGTCTCGTGGATAGGATGATGCATGCATGTGAGGGGTCTCATGGATAGGATGATGCATGCATGTGAGGGTGTCGTGGATAGGATGATGCATGCATAGGCAGCGCAGACGCACAAAGAGAGCAGCGGCAGCGGCACGGGTCAGGATTGGACTTGAGGGCCATGCCATGTGCAATGAGACAAAGGGCAGCAGCATGACCATGTCCCATTGACCACAGTGGCGCATGCATGTATGGCGGTTTAAAACCATCTAGACGGAAAAGCTCAAACGAACGCAACTGCGAGAAGAGTGCACATGAATGGAGGCAAGGGTGGAATGAAGCACAGAGGCACGCAGAGGGGGGTTGCTGTGGGTGGGACGCACATGACCAGCGCGGGAGGAGATGCCGTCCGGTGCAGCTGTGAGCGAGTCAAGAAAGTCAACCAGTGCTGCTGATGTGGATGGTGCGAGGCTGGCGGGGAGGGGAGAGAGTGCGGCCAGGCTGCATGCTGCCAGCTCAGCGTATTGCGATGACACCACTATTGTGCTGCTCTGTTGAATCACCTCCTTTATAAGCATGTCCACTGGAAGGTGGTGAGGAGAAGGAGAGACATGATGGATTTATGAACAAAGCTTGCTATCCCCGGTGGATGGGGAAAACCACATAGTGAGCAGCACGAGCACGCATACATCTCAGATGCTTGACAAACAACCACACAGATGAGAATCAATCACTCACCCTCCATCCACCATCCCACCTTGAGCGTCCGAGCCACTGCTGCTGGCAGCAAGGGAGGAGGCGTTGCCTCTGAACATGGCGGCCCATGCAGCCACGGCCTGCAGCAGCTGCGCGCCATCCCCCCGTGCTGCTGCCGGCGCCGCCACCGCTGCCAGCCACTGCTCCGATGACAGCTCCTCCCCGCCCTCGCCTCCTGTGCCCTCCTCTCCCCGCACTCCCGACCCTGACCTTCCAGCCGCGCCAGTGGAGGGCACGGTGACGGGTTGGGGGGCCACGGCGTCCGTGACAGCACCGGCAGCAGAGGCCACTCGCACTGCCAGGGACGACTTGCCGGGGGGGAGGATGATGAGGGCCGCGGGCGAGGCGCAGGGCAGCGTGAGTGGCTGCAGGGATGTAGCGGACGGTGCAGGGGAGGAGGGGGAGGGGGAGGCAGGGGAAGGGGTGGAGGCAGGCTGCAGGGTGGCGAAGGTGTAGGAGAGAGGCAGGTCCTGGGGCTGGGCGGACCAGCCAGGCGCGGAGAGAGTAAAGAGCTGCCCGCTGGTGTCCCCGGGGGCGGGCTGCACGAGGAACGTTCCTCCCCAGGGCGCCTTGGCGGCAGGGAGGGTGAGCGAGGCGGACGTGGTGGGCTGGGGGGGGTTGGCAGGGATGGCTGTGGCGGGCTGGCCGTCGGGCGTGAGGGAGGAGGCGAGGGAGGCGCGGGAGGAGGGCGAGGGGAGTGGCAGTGAGTAGACGTCGCAGCGGTAGGTGGAGGCATCGCCCCGGGCGAGCTGTGATGGCCGCAGCACCAACGGCTGGTTCGTCACTGCATGGGCATGGGGGAAAGGTTTTGGGCGTTGGATGTGGAAGGGGCGCGGGAGAGGAGTGAGAAAAGGAGAGGTTGATGGTTGGAAAGCAGGTGCAGGAGGGATTGAAATGAGTGAGATTGAGGTGAGACTGAGATCGGGCTGAGGGCAGACGACGGTGGTATGGTAAGGGCGTGTAACCATTTTGCATTCTTTCGTACTGTCCGCTTACATTGTGTTGACGTTTTGCAACTTTGGCCCGTCCGGATGGACAAGTGACACTTTTTCGTGTTGTATATTTTCGCGATTACAGTAGCCTCGTTAGAGGCACTGTACCTTTGTACCTCGATTCTCGACATCTTTTCTGCAAATTCGAGCGCCAATCTCGATCTCATATTTTCAGAGAACTTCGCGAGCCAATCTCTTGCAAGGACTGCTGGACCGTCCGTTTGGGTTTCGGACTGTCCACGGTTCACATTTCGAACCGTTGAAAAGAGGAAAAAGTGACGCCACGGTCCGACGAACACGTAGACAACATAAAACGAAACACGTAACCCCAGGTCGGTCCCGACGGTCCACGTTTCGAACCGTCGGGGGCAAAATGGTTACACGCCCTAGGGGGTGAAATGCAGCGCAGAGCAGCAGAACACAGCAGCGCATACCATTGAGGTCGAGGAGAGTGCCATCGGAGAGAACCTGCTTCCACGCATAGGCATAGGGCATGGCGTCCACCACACACTGCAGCTCCACCGCCTTTGCCCCGTCTATTGCGATCCCCGCCTGCACTCCCCTGCTGCTCCTCTCTGCTGCCGCTGATGCTGCTGATGCTGCTGATGCTGCTGATGCTGCTGATGCTGCTGCTGCTGCTGCTGATGCTGCTGATGCTGCTGATGCTGCTACTGCTGCACTGTCACCGCTATTTGCGCTGCTGCCGCTGGAGCCTGTAGAGCCAACACCACTCGTGTTCCCAGCACCAGTTGTGCTGCCATCACCACCAGTGGTACCAGAACTATTAGAACCAGACCCAGTGCTGTCACTGCTGCTTGTAGAACCAGCACCGCCAGTGCTGCCATCACCACCTGAGCCAGTGCCATTGCTGCTGCTGCTGTCCGTAGGACCAGCAGCAGCCGGGCTACCAGAGCCACCCATGCTGCCAGCACCACCTGTACCGCCATCACCACCAGTGTTGCCCTGCTGCACCCCTGGAGCCCACTCCGCCATCGCCCCTGCCGCCCGCCCCCAGGCCGCCGCCACGCCAACCGCAGCGGCCGGAACGGCCCGGTCCACTGCGGTTACCACAGCGACAGCTGGCACGCTCTCACGGGCCAGCGCAGCGGGGGAGGTGCCCGGGAGGGAGAGGGGGTTGCGGGAGACGAGGAGGGAGAAGCGGTAGGAGCCAGGGGGGAGGGCGTTGGCGGGGACGGTGAGAGACGAGGTGCTCTGGGCTAGCACGGCTGTGGCGCTGGGGAAACAGGCTGCCGCACCCGCACTACCGCCCGCCGCACTGCTGCTGCTGCTGCTGCTGCTGGTGCTGGTGGTGCTGGTAGGCGTGGACAAGGCTTGAGCTTGAGCCGTGGGAGGAAGGCGAGCCTGGTCTTCTGAGAGCAGCTCACAGCCCCACGTGTACTGAATGGGCAGCGGCTTCCCCCCACTGTCCCTCGCCTCGTCTGCATCCACCACCACCGCCTGCAGCAGCAGCTGCTCCCCCACCGACACCACCCTGTCTCCGCCCGATATGGCCACTCTCAGAGGCGACGCGCTCACCCTCACTGCCACTCTGTCAGTTGCTTTTACGGCTGGATCTGCTGCTGACGTGGCCTCCAGTGATAGGACATAGGTTGCGCCCGGCTGGAGGGTGCCTGGGGGGATGGTGAGGGCGGGGGAGTGGCGCGAGCGGGCGAGGGCGGGCAGGGAGAAGTTGAGAGGCGGGCCGGCAATGAGCGACCAGGCGAAGGTGAGGGCGGGGGGCGCGTTGGAGAGGGCGAGCAGGGCAGGGGGGGCTGTGGCTGTTGGCGTGGGGAGAGGGGACGCTGCTGCTGCTGCTGCTGCTGCTGAGACCGCTGCCGATGCTGGTATCACTGCGGCTGCTGTTGCTGTTGCCGATGCTGCTGGTGGGGTAGGAGAGGCAGTGGAGGAGGAGGGGGAGGGCGGGAGGCAGGAGGAGTCGGGCAGGGAGGCGAGGGAGGAGATGGTGAGGGAGTCGCCGGGCCGGGCGGAGAGCAGGCGCAGGGCGGAGGGGGAGGCGGGGGCGAGGATGCGCAGCAGGGGGGCGGCTGTGGCGGACTGGGTGACGAGCAGTGATGCGTTGGCTGCCCTGCCGTTGGGGTCCGTCACGAATACTGCGAACTGGAGGGGGGAGAATGAGAGAGGCACATGGGGGGAAGGAGTGGTAGGGAGTGAGGGGAGGGGAGGGGAGGAGAGGAGAACGGTGATGAGCATGGGGTGAGGATGAGAGGGGAAATGAAAAAGTGGCCAGTGTTTTCGAGTGGCTTTCACCTCAGAGATCCTCTTGCTCACAGATCTATTGGCCCCCTCACAAACCCATCGCTTCGTTCTCCTCATAAGCGGTCCCAGGGGTGAGTGTTCTGGGCGGGACGGTAAGCGTGGTCATGGTGGCATGGGCGCCGTGCGGCGACACAATGGGGTGCAGCGAGAGCGACTCCGTCAGCGTCCCTCTGCTCTCACACCTACCTACTGCCCCCCTCACGCGCCCATCTCCCCTCTCACCTCGTATGCCGCTCCAGGAGTCAACGTTTTGGGCGGGATGGTGAGTGTGGTGGCGTCAGCGCCCTGCGACGACACGAGGAGGTCCAGCGAGAGCGACTCGGCATCGGAGAACACGCGCCAGGAGAAGGCCAGCGCCGCCCCGTACAGCGACCGCGACCCCGACGCGTCCAGCACCAGCGCGTCGCACAGCCCCACCGTGCCCGGCGCGTCCAGTGCCGCCACCACCACCGCCCCCGCCTGCACCGCTTCCTGCACCTCCTGCGGGGTTCGCGCACCTGATGCGCCGCCTGGCGGGCCGACGCCCACGGCGAGGGCGGAGGAGGAGGAGGCAGGGGAGGAGGAAGGGGAGGAGGAGGAGGGGGAGAGGGTTGGGAGGAAGGAGAGGGTGGCGTTGGGGGCGGTGGCGGCGGTGAGGGAGGTGAAGGGGCGCAGGGAGGAGTTGAAGCCCAGGTAGACCAGCAGGCGGGACGAGTCCTGCCACACGCACTGCGCGCCACTGCCCACCCGCGCCAGGCTCTCCCCATCCAGCAGCTCCGCGCACTCCTGCTGCCCCACTCCTCCTCCCCCCATCCCCCCTCCTGCCCCCCCTGCTGCATCCCCTGCTGCCCCTCCTGCTGCCCCTCCTGCTGGTGGTGCTCCAGCGCTAGCAGTGGAGGGCGAGGAGAGGGTGGGAGTGGGAGAGAAGGCAACAGAGAGGGCGCGCTGGGAGCAGTCGAAGGAAGCCAGCACACTAGCTGACGGAGCAGGCGGTAACACTACCACGTCAGCAGGGCTGCCCATGACGTGGGTAGGGCCCACTTTGGTTGACACTGTGTACGTCCCTGCTGCTGCCGTGGGGAAGGTGAAAACGAGGCCGCCAGCTGGCAGACTGGGATTCTTGAGAGATGAGTCAATCTGTGTGGGCTGCATTGCTGATGCTGTTGCTGCTTCCCTTGCTGTTGTTGCGCTGCTGCCACTGGCAGCAGCAGAGGAGGAAGAGGAGGATGGGGCAGGGACGAATGTGACATTCAAGGTCAGCCCTGACTCGCCTGCTGTGGGGTACTCTATTGGGTTCGTATACAAATCCCGGGCAACCACCAGAAAAGTTTGATTGCTGCCCACCAGCGTACCGTTCACCAGGCCCAGCAGCGAGCACGCAGCAGGAGAAACCGGGCCGGGCAGCACAGTAAAAGAAAAGGGCGACCCCCAGAGGTGCGCCCCCGAGGGCAGGTGGGTAACGGAGAGGTGAGCCGGACCCGACTCAAAGACAGTGATGGTGGCGGTGACGGTGGGCGCGGAGGGCGAGGAGAGTAGCACCCCGTGGTGGGCCTCTGAGGAGGGCGAGCGCGTGTGCAGCAGGAGGGGCAGGCCCAGCAGCAGGTAGGGGTTGGAGAAGGCGTCGGTGAGCGTGACGTTGAAGCTGTAGGGCTGGCCCGCCACCGCTGTGGCTGACAGGTCGTGCAGGCGCGATAGCGAGGGGGAGAAGGGGCCTGGTGGAGTGGATGGATGAGGGTGGGGTGGGGAGGGAAGTAGATGCAGGGGAAGGGCGTGGGGAGGAGAGGGTACGAGTGAGCTAGGTGGAGAGGTAGTTGGAGCTTGTGTGTAACTTTAGCGATGCAAAAAAGCAGAGGTTATCTTCGGAATGTAACCTGATGTGGTTACCGTCAGGAAGCACTGAGAGTGACTGGAAATAAAACGTGGTTACCTTCAGAATGTAACCTGATGCGCAGCAATCTGACATCATGCAGTGGAGTCACTGCGGGGGATGAGCGAACCGACCTGGCAGGATGTGGATGGGGGTGCTGAAGGCCGTCTGGTTGTTCAGAAGCACTGAGAGCGTGAAGTTGCCTGGCTCGTACAGCAGGAAGCTTCCCAGATAGTTCCCCTTGGAGTTGACAGTGGCAGCGGAAGTAAAGACAGGCTGAGTGGTGCGGTACAAAGCGGTGGGGACGGATGGGGGGAAGTGGGAGAAAGAAAGGAGGGATGGAGGAAAGCGAAGGAGTGTGAAGGATGTATGCACGGAGGGGGTTGAGAAGCTCAAGCACACTCAAGATGATCACATGAGAACACAATGCAGAAACTTTTGGACATGGTCGCATTGCTTGGCGGTGCAGAGCTAGGAGAGTAGGATAGGGAGACACGCGGCACAAGAGGCGAGTGATTGACCTGTTTGCTGGCAGGGCGGGTGAGCAGCACAGTGAGCGAGTCACCCTCCCCGGTGAGGCGGTTGAAGGTGCGCGGGGCACCAGAGGCGTCCAGCACCGCCATGCTGAAGGCTGTGCGCCGCCCTACCATGCACGCCCCCCTCCCACACGCCTGCAGCGCTGCCGCGTCCACCCTCACTGCCACAGCCGGCCCTGAGAGGGCACGCCGGGCATGAAGATGCGGGCATGACATGATAGCAGCATGATATGATGCATGGATGAGGAATGCACAGGACGGATACATGCCACACATACACGGTTCGATTAGATGGCGATGATGCACAACGGCAATGCAGATGCATTTGGGAAGAGCACAGGTGGAGTGGATGCACGCTCGCATCGCATGACAACAAGTGGTGAATACGAGACATTCCAGACACCAAAACGGCTGTTGGCAGCTCTCTACCCATACTGCTTGCCACCCAGCTCACCTGGCGCCGTCTCAAATGTCAACCCAGCTCACCTGGCGCCGTCTCAAATGTCAACCCAGCTCACCTGGCGCCGTCTCAAATGTCAACCCAGCTCACCTGGCGCCGCCTCAAATGTCAACCCAGCTCACCTGGCGCGAGCAGCAGCTGGAACCAGCCAGCAGACGAGCCGTCCGGCGTGGAGTAATGCACGTTGCGCCACGCCACATGCGCCGCTGCCGCCACCACCGTCACCGTCACGTACCCTCCCTTGCTCACACTCACACTCACACGGTCCTTGCCCCCCTCCGCCCCACCCGCCTGCGCGCCTGCAGCAGCAACAGCAGCAGCAGCAGGGCCGAAGAGGAGAGTGGGGTCGGGGTCGAGGGCATCAAAAGAGGGTGTGAGTTTGAGCACCAGGGCAGAGTCATCCTCAACCAGCACTGCCATGCCGCTACCATCGGTGAACCGCACGCCGAACTTGGTTTCCGAACCAGCCGCGCCGCCACGGAGCTGGTAGCCGTTCGGAATGGGGACCCCGTCCGCCGTGACAGCTGTCACCGTGAGATTGGCCGGGAGTGGCGCGTTGGGCGGCAGGGCGGGGTGAACAGTGATGTTGGTGGACTGGAATCGGACCGGGCGGCTGTTGACAAGCACCGATACTGACAGCCCGTACGGAGCTGCTGCTGCCGCTGCCGCTGCCGATGGCGCTCCCGTGGCTGTGTTATTGGGGGGATTGAACGAGCCTCGGAAGATGCACCCCCCGCCGTACCCCATTCGGGCGCGAGGCACGGCCGAGGCTGGAGGCACGGGCAGGAAGGCGCCGGGCGTGGGCGCAGGGAGAGCAACAAAGGCGAGAGTCACCGAGACTTTGAGCAGCTTGGCGGAGTGAGTTAGGAGAGGGAAGCCCTGCGCGTCCCTCACACACATGCCCATCTCCACCACTGTGCCCGCCCGCACCCCCCCTCCCTGCTGCACCCCTGCGCCGTACAGAGTGGAGTGTGCGAGGCTGACGGGGCGCGGGAGGATGGTGGCCTGCAGGGGGAGGGAGGAGGCCGGGTCGGAGAGGGGCAGGGCGGCGTTGGGGGGACCCACCATGAGCTGGAGAGAGGCTTGCCCGGGGGTCTGTGGTGTGAAGGAAAGCTGCCACGCAGGGATTGGGGCGGCGGAGGCGGGGGAGGAGGAAGGGGAGGCGGGAGAGGGAGAAGGGGCGGGTGTGGCGGCTGGCTTGCTGTTGCGGCCCGCTGTGGCAGCTGTGGTGGTAGTGGAGTCCGCAGCAGAGGCAGTGGTTGCTACAGTGCCCTCCCATTCCGTCCCACTCATCTCCGCTGCAGTCACATTCACTGCTGTCACGTTCAGCATATACGTCTCCCCCACCACCCCTCCCGTCGCCTCATCCACATGCGACACCGTCACCAACCCGCCCACCCGCCCCTCCTCCCCCGCCCCGTGCCCCACCACGTTCCCAAACCAATCACGCAGCGCCACGTGGACAACCACTGGGCGGGCCACGGGGAAGGAAGCACCAGGTGGAAACCCAGAGAGGGAGAAGGCGGCCGGGGCGGCTGGGACGACTTGGAGGGCGAGAGGCGGGGAGGGGAGGGGCGAGCCGTTGAGCAGCACTTGCAGCTGGTACGAGCCGGCGATGGTGAGCGGGGCGGAAAGGGCGATGAGGGATGGGTTGATGGTCGTGGCTGCGAAGGTGGGGGCAGGGGAGGAGGCGGGGAGAGGCGAGGAGAGGAGTTTCACAGAGAGCTGCGAGGAAGCAGCAGCGGTGTTGGCGGCGGTGTTGGCGGCAGCAGTGGGATCAAAGGAAGCCACGTTCCCAAGCCCGTCTCGCAGCGCCACCAGCACTTCGGCTCTTCCCCCCGCCCGCACCCTCACCCCTCCTGCCGGCACCAGCACCGCAGACGTGTTAGCAGCAGGCGGGCCGGGCAGGACAGTGACAGCAGCAGTGGCAACAATAGTGTTGTGAAACACCACCCACACCGCCACCCGCCCTGCCTGCATGGCTGTATACCCCCCCTCGTACACCCCCTGCTCCTGCGCGCCTCCTGTGGCCGCCGGCTGCAGCAGCGAGCTGGAGTAGAGCCCTGCGTCCCCCCCTCCCCCTCCGCCCCCCCCGCCCCCTCCAAAGATCTGCAGCGTGAACAGGTCCCCCCGCACCCTCCGCACCACCCCCTGCTGGTCCCTCGCCCGCACCTTCACTACCACCACCTCCCCTGCTGTCACGGTCGGCCCCAGCCCCGACCCCCACACATCGCAGCGCTCCGGCGCTACAGGGCCGGGGACAGAGGAGAGGAGGAAGGGCGAGCCGGGCACGTGCTCGGAGAAGAGGCGGATGGAGAGCAGGAACGGGCCGGGGCCCGGAGGGGTGAAGGTGATGAGGCAGGTGCCATCGTACAGAGGCTGCACTGTGGACGGGCGCGAGGCGGGGCGGGAGGGATCCGGGGTGGAGGGGGAGGGGGGGGGGAGGACTGGCTGGACAAGCACGTCCCAGGAGAGGGGGGCGGAGCGAGGGGATTTGGAGGCGGCGCGGGCGTCACTGAGGCCGTCGGAGTTGGCGTCGGGGACAAGGAGGAAGTCGGTGGGGGTGAGGGCGAAGAGGGAGGAGCCGCCGCCTGCGAGACCTTTGACGCGCCACTGGGAGGCGGTCACCTGCCAGGCGTCTGTGCCTGCTGCTGCTGCACTGCTCTCTGCTTCTCGTAGCAACGCGTCCACCCCGGGTAGATTCCGCGGCAGCGCTGCTGCTGCTGCTGCTGCTGCTGCTGCTGCTGCTGGGGCTGCTGTGTTGTCCTCGTCAGAATCACTGGCTGCTGATGGTGCCGGTGCTGTTGGTGCTGCTGCCGCTGCTACTGGTGCTGCATCTGCCACAGCTGCTGCTGCTGCTGCTGTTGCCACTGCAGTTAATGCTGCTGGTTGGGCAGTGGCGTTGGCAGCAGCGTCAGTGACATCGACCTCAATGGGCCCGTTGGCGCCGCCCACAAAGTACCCCGCGATCTTGATGGACAGCTGGTACCGCCCGGGCTGGGCGGCAGAGAACACCGCCACACACGACCCGTTGTACAGGTCGCGCAGAGCCGTGCTGGGCGGGGCAGCAGGAGGAGCATTCGAAGCCGGGGGCGAGGAGGACGAGGAGCGGGCAGGAGTGGCGGTGAAGACGAGAGGGAGGGTGTCCATGAGAGGGCTGTACGGACCCACGTTGCCAAACTGATCTGCTGTGGTCACCAGCAACACCAGCGGCTGATTCACCGGCTGGGAGAGCACCGAGTGCAGAGAGGCGTTGACAGTGGAGAGGGCAGCAGCAGCGGAGCCGCGGAAGAAGGGCACGAAGAAGGGCCCGTCCATGACGTCCGCGGGGGCCTCGCCGCTGCCGTCCACATGCAGCTGCACTCGCACGCGGTAAAACCCCCCGTGGGGCGGCTCGTACGTGGTATATGTGATGCGGTACGCACCGCCCCCCAGGGCTACCACCGACCGCACCTCGGCCTGGCGGGTCACGTTGCGTCGCGCGAACACCGTCACCACCACCGCCACCGCCCTGTCCATGAACGTCGCGCTGCTGCCCCACGCACTGGCGCTCCCGCCACCGCCGCTCGTGCTTCCACTGCTGCTGCTGTTGTCGCCCTCCCCGCCCTGTGCCAGATGCGTCCACCTGCCCTGCGCGCCCCCCCCTTGGGCCGTGGTCTGCCCCGGGTACAGCCCCTGTGCCGTGCGTGTCTGCAGCGTGAACGTCGAGGGCGCACCTGCCACTGTGCGCTCCAGCCCCGGCCCGAACGCGTACGACAGGGCGGCGGCGGGCGGCGCTGGGAGAACGGTGAGGGGGAAGGTGGCACCTGGGACAGGCTGGCCTGCGAGGTAGACCTGCACCTGCACGGGACCCAGGGCGCGCAGCACTGGGTGCGCCACGAGAGAGGTGGACTGCCCGCCTGCTGCTGCTGGCACCATGGCACTCGCGTCTGCTGCACTGATCCCACTTGCATCCGCCCCGCTGCTCCCACTGCTGCTGGTGCTGCTCTCGGTGCTGCTGCTGTCCCCACTGCCATCCCCACTGCCATCGCCGGTGCCATCCCCGGTACCATCACCGCTGCTCCCTGACTGGGACTCCTGCAGGGAACGCGGCGGAACAGGCTCAGCCGTCGAGGCAGTGCTGCTGCCGTTGCCCGCTGTGCTGTTGCTGGCGGCAGGTGAGGCGGGCGGGGGCGGGGCTGAGGGAGCCGCGGAGGGTGCGGGGGAGGACGGGGGCGAAGGGGACGGCGAGGGCGACGGGGAGGGGGGCGGTGAAGGGGGGGGGGAAGCCGGGGGCGAATTGGAGGGAAGGATGGCATAGAGCAGCGAGGAGGGGTCAAAGTCACGGATCTCATTCCCCAGGGCGTCTCTGGCCACCACCGTGACGTTGGGGGGCGAGCCAGCAGCAGCGGAGTTGCTGTTGAGCTGCACCGTGCTGCGCTCTGCAGAGGGCGCACCTGGCACCACCTGCAGCAGCGGCACCGGGAACACCAGCTTCTTCCTGGAACCTTCCAGCAGCACCGTCACACTGAAGTTGCCTGCCTGGCGCGCTTCAAATTGCACGTCCAACACACACCCAGCCGCCGCCCCTGCCCCTGCCCCGTCTGCTGCTGCTCGCTTGCTGCCTGTGCCTCGTGCTGCTGCTCCTGATGCTTCCTGCTGCATACCGTATTCGGAGGCAGTGAGCGCCTGGCACAGCGGCAGCAAGCATGCAGCACTCCACATGCACTTCACCCCTTCGGGCTCTATCCCCCCCGCTTCTTCCACCTGCTCCCCCCCCTCCTGTGTCGGCTTCACTCGCTTCCCACCCCCCACAGCCGCCATCACCACAGTGCCTGCCTCCTCCTGCCCGTCCGCACTCCCCCCTCTCTCCCCACCACCCCCGCCCGCATCCGCCTCGCCCTGCGTCCACAGCCCCCCCCACCAGGAGGCGCGGTGGGTGAGGTTCACCAGCCTCAGCACCACGGAGCATGGAGCCTTCACTGCCGCTGGTGGGGCAGCAGCGGCAGCGGCAGCGGCAGAGGCAGAGGCAGAGGTAGAGGCAGGGTCAGACGAGGAGGAGGAGGCGGCAGCAGCGGCAGAGGCAGGGGGTTGGGCGGAGAGGGAGGAGTTGGGCAGCAGGAGGTGGTAGGGGATGGCGGTGTTGCCCAGCGCATCGCGCAGCACCAGCCTCATAGCCACCACACTGCCCGCCTCCGCCTCCCTCACATCCCCCCCGTCCACATAGCTCTCCCCCGGGTCCACCTCCCCCGGCAGCACCATGAACTTCTCCGCCTTCGCCCCAAATGCCACCTCCCCCAGGTAACCCTGCACTGTATACTCGCCTGCCCGGGTGAAGTTGAGTTCAGCATCGAAGCTCCCTGCCTGTAGCCTTCCGAACGCCACGTCCCCTGCAACAGGTACAGCCTGCCCCTTGGGGGGCTGGCAGGCGGGTGCAGGGGAGGCGACAACTGAGAAAGCATCTGCTGAGGGCGGGTAGCGGCTGAGGCTGTAACTCTGCTGGTTACCGCTGCTGTCGCTGGCGTGCAGAGGCAGACGAACGGCGCCGCTCACCACGACAACGCGGCCGAAGGCGGGGGCTGGGGCAAGGGCGAAGGAGCAGCGGGCGGCGGTGGTGGGGCCGGGGAGGACGGTGAGAGAGAAGGAGCCCTGTGTGCCGGATATGAGCCCGTAGTTTGTGTCCTGTACCCCTGCCACTGCACCCTTGATGCTGCTGCTGCTGCTGGTGCTGGCACTGGCAGTGTCAACAGCAGTCTGCAGGGTGCGGCCATGCAGTGCAGAGGAGGCATCGCTGCTGCTGCTGCTGCTGCAAAAGGTTGCTGGAGATGGCGGGGCGACAATGGATTGGGTGGAAGGGAGGGAGGGAAAGAGAGCATGGTGAGCCGACACCGACGAGCCATCCGTTGCCTCAGTGCTGTCAGCCTCTGTGCTGGCAGCACTGGCAGTGACAGCGGGTGCTCTGTGCTTGTGCAAGTGCGTGTGAGCAGCAAGAGTGATCTCATCCAACCCATTGCTTGGCTCTGCAGCTGATGCAGCACTGGCAGAGAGGGCAGAGGGAGCTGCAGAGGGGGCAGCAGAGGAGGAAGCATTGTCCCCCCCAGCTGCATCCCCCTGCAGCAGCTGCAGCGGCAGGCCTGACTTCACCACCATGCTGCTCGCCCGCCCCAGGCACTCCGTGCAGATCAGGACAAAGCTGCCGGCCACCGGAACTGTAACCTGCGCTTGCCACAGCGCGGGGATGGGCTTGCCCCCAAAGGAGGGAACGACGGGTGTGGCAGTGATGTCAGCCACTTGCCCCTGTGTGGAGAGCAGTGTGAGGGAGAGATTGGCGGAGAGCACAGCAGGGTCGGATACAGCTGCCATGCCTGCTGCATCCACTGCCACGATGCGCAGCCACATGGCGGCGCCTGATTGGACGAGAGGTGGCGCGAACGCGAGCAGCTGCTGCATGGGGCCGGAGGCGGGCGATGCGGTTACCACACACGTGGGCTGGGCGGCAGCGCTGCCTGCACTGACGTCCACTGCTGGGGTTGCTGCCACAGTCACGTTCTGCAGAAGCACATCGCCCACAGTCACAAGGATAGCATAGGCCCCGGGCTTGGTGACACGATAGGAGATGGAGTAGCAGCCGTTGCCGCTGTCCACCACACTCACTGCCGTACCCTCTGCCACCGCCGGCATACCCCTCTGCACCGCTCCGTTCCCCCCTGCACCCACCAGCGCTGCTGCTGCTGCGGCCCCTTGTGCTGCGGGCACCACTCCCACCTGCACGTCCTGCCCTGCGCCCCCTGCCAGCAGCACGTTGCCCCACGCGTCCCTCAGCTGCAGCTGCAGAAACGCTGGGAACTTCGGCACTGCTCCATGCGCCCCTGGCCCGTATAGCAGCGAGGAAGGCGGGTGCAGAGGGCCGGGGAGCACTGTGAAGGGGAACGGGCTTCCTCGGATGTGCCGGCCTGAGAGAAGCACCGAGAGAGACGCCACCCCTGCGAGTGTGCCTGTATCGAATGTGACGTCCAGGGAGGAGGAATTGGAGGGCGAGGTGGGCGAGGAGGGGGAGGCAGAGAGGGTGAGGGTAGCGGGGTAGGTGAGCTGCTGCTGGGAGAAGTTAGAGGCGACTGAGAAGGACGCGGAGAAGAGCGAGAGGAGGGGCTCGGCGGGCAGGTCGGAGCCCATGGCGTCGCGCACGTACACTGTGAGGCGCCCCGTCTGCCCCACCGCCACCTCCTGCGCCGCCACCAGCAGTGGCCCTGAGGCGTCCCCACTGGGCTCGCCTGGCGCTACTTGTAGGAGCACGGAGGAGGAGGAGGAGGAGGAGGAGGAGGAGGAGGAGGAGGAGGAGGAGGAGGAGGAGGAGGAGGAGGAGGAGGAGGAGGAGGAGGAGGAGGAGGAGGAGGAGGAGGAGGAGGGAGAGGAGGGCGCGGACGAGGCAGCAGAGGAAGCGGAGGAGGGAGAGGAGGCGGGTGAGGGTGGAGGGTTTTGGAGATTGATGGTCTGCTGGGCGCGGATGAGGGAGAGGGTGGGGGAGTAGTCGCCGTGAGAGGGTGGGGTGAAGCGCAGGACGATGAGCCCTGAGGCCCCATCCACCTCCACTCCCACCCCCGATGGCCCCTCCCCCCACTCACTGCCCTCCCCACCACCGCCGCTGTCACCGCTGCTGCTGCTTTTGCTGTTGCTGCTGCTGGTACCAGCGGCACCGTTCACTTTTGTCACACTGGCAACAATCACATCAGCGTCGGTGGCAGGGATCTGCGTGCCGTCCGAGCTGACGAGAGCAAACGCCATCTGCGCCTGCTGCCCCGCCACCGCTGCAGGTGCGGCCGCCATGATGGGGGAGAGCGGCGTGGAGGCGGCGGGGAGGAGGGCGGCGGGGAGGGGGATGGCGGAGCGGAAGAAGTTGGGCGCCTTGAACTTGAGGCGGTTGCCCTGTGTGTCCGCCACCACCACCATCACACTGTACGCTCCTGGCAGCTGTGGAGCAAGGAGACGGAATCACACGGGGAGGAATGGGCACATCACATGTGTGGTGGAAGGTTGAGAGGCGGGTCAGGAACAACTATTTGTACTGGATGAGAGGATGTGCAATATGCTATGTGCGTACCATCGCGTAAAATTGTACCACGGGTGGTCATGGGACGCGTTAACGAACGATCGACTGTGGCGTTGACGTGACTCGTGAGGATCGCACCTTGACTGTGAAGTTGGCAGTGAGAACCTCCCCGCCCGCAGCATCAGTGGCGTGGGTGACGGCAAGGGGGAAGGTGCGGCGGCGCGAGTGCGGCATGGGACCGAACAGCTGCACGCGTGACTGTGACAGGTCCACCTGTGATGACAGGCGGAAGAAGGGCGACGACACACCCCCAGGTGCTGCTGATGCTGCTCCCGCCTCCCCCTTCTGAAGCTGCTGCTGCTGCTGCGGTGGCTGCTGCACGGCGTGGAGGCCTGCCTTGGGGCCGGAGGAGAAGGCAACGCGGAGGAGCACGGGGGAGCCGAGAGGGGCTTCAGACAGCAGCGACCCCGACAGCACTGCGGACGACAGCTCTGTCAGACTCATCCCGCCCTCCGTGATCGGGCCCCCCTGTGCTGCCTCGCTCCCTCCCCCTCCACCTCCACCTCCCCCTCCCTCTGCTGCCTTGCTTCTCTTGTCTCGCCCTCCGCCCTGCGCCACCTGCTCGCTGCGCTGTTGCTTCAGCTGTCTCCCCCGGCCCGCCCCTTGCTGCTCGCCAGCTCTGCTCTCCCCCGCTCTGCCCTCCTCTGCGCCTCCCCCTGCCCTGCCTGCGTCCGCATCAGTTGTGCGCGCTGAAAACTGGAACCCTCCAGCTCTCACCACGTCCTCCTGCCCTGCTGCTGACGTGGCATGCAGGCCCGGTGGAGCAGAGGTCTCCGAAGAGGCTGAGGTGGCAGCAGCTGATTGGAAGAGAGATGGCAGGCGAAGCGGGTCGAGAACAGGGAGGAAGTCAGCGAGCAGAGAGTCACCCTTGTCCGCCCCACCCGACCCTGAAAGTAAGTCGGGCCCACCCCACCCTAAATGTGAGTCGCCCCCACCCCATCCTGCGTGAGAGTCCGCCTGTCTGCCGTGGAAAGCACCTCCGCCCCTCCCCACGTGCAACGCTCCCCCTTCTGCCCCCCCTCCACCAGCACCCGTTGACCTCCTTTCATGCGTCCCCGCCCTTTCACGCCCGCTCTCCTCCTCCTTGCCTTCCCTCCCGTTCCCCCCCACTGCACCTGCTTGCCCCACCACCTCCCCCATACTACGGCTGCCATCTCCACCACTTGCATCGCTGCCACTCCCCTCCTCCCCAGGCCATTCCTCCTCGCTCCCCGCCCTCTGCTCCCTCAGTGCGTCCCTCCCGCCGCCTGCCTGCCCCGCATGCCATGTCAGCAGCTGGTGCTGCCACTCCGCCAATGGAGCCCTGCCAGCCACTCAGTGACGTCACATCACACATCATACCATTCCGGGAAATCGCAGTCAAAGTCATCACATACCATGTCATTGCGTTACCACGCCATACCGTTCCAATTCATGCCATGGCGTGCCGCGCCAGTTACAGTACAGCAGACCACACCAGCCAACAATGCATATCACGGGCAAATGTCAGTCAAGGATTGTGAGGCAAAGCCACGTCAGTAAAAAGGCTGTCACTTAAAGCCACGTCAGTCGAGCCATTGTCCGTCAAACCCACGTCAGACAAAAACGCGTCAGTCAGCAAAACGTCAGTAGCGATGTCAGTCAAAGCTGCGTATGGAGCGAGTCGACAGGCCAACCTGAACCTGAACTCCGTCCAGCTTGCTTCACTCCACCTCTGGATTTGGAAGGTCGTTTTGCGAATTTACCCCAAAAATCACCGAGCAATTCAACAGACCACCCCGCACCTCCTCCACCTTACTCACTTCACCTCTCCACCTCTTCAACAAGCGCATAACCCCTCACCGCTCCTTCTCTATTTCCTCTCCCAGTTTATCCAGCTTCAAGCACCTCACAACCAAAGTCAAGCCATGCGCTACTTTACGGCAGGGCGACACTCACCCTCTCACGCGAGAGTAAGCGAAGTCCGGCGAACGCCTTTCGGAACGACTCGCGAAACGAGCGAAATTTGACACCTTGTTGCTAAAGTGAGCTGAGAGAGGTGGGAAACGAGGAAGCAAGAGGATGGCGACCATCAACTCAGCGGGGAATAGCGCGCGCGCGACGAATGTGAGAAATCTACAAAGCGAGACAGAATTACTGGTGAGAAAACCAAAGAACGCGACGGGGTTACTGGCGGTGCTCGGGGTGACTGCGACGACGGACCTGAGTGCGAGGTCGAGGGAAGAACGACGATTGTGAAAGCGAGGAGAAGAAAGACGACACGTTGACACAACCGTGACCGGGCCATGCGGAGACCGAGACGACGGCTTAAGTAACCGCGGTACCACTATCGGCTCCTAACTCTCTAATTTTCTTGCCATCGCTGACTGGCTGCTACTTACAAACACTCGCTACGTAGGAAAATACTTCCGTGCACTGCGGCTACTTCCATACGACAATACTGTACTTCGGTGTGGCATTCTCAAGGGTAGACGGGAAGGTGGTGGCAGTCGTGGCCAAGGGGGTTGATGCAGGAGGGATGCACGCTGCGATGGTGGCGTCGGTGGTGGCGCGAAACTGGCTATCGCGACCTGAATGCACGCGTTCCACTGTACGTACAGATGGATATAATCGTGTACATTGCAGTGACCTTGAAACTGTTAGAGGGGTGTTTACTGTTCATTCCGACAAGTACATTTCTAGTCACCATTATCCTTATCTTCTCAGATTCTCTAGTGCCACGTGTCACTCTACTTTTCTTGCACTCCAATTCTTGGTCCCACATTCCACTTTCCAACCTTGTTTCTTGCATGCTATATAAACCTTGCTTGTACTTGCCATTATCAATCAATTCTCATTCAACTCTTCTTCAATTACTCAGTAACTTCTTCGCCTATTTCGCCAATAGTTCTTTCGCCAAAGTCTTCCGCCGGGTTTCATCCTCGACTTAGTCGACCCCGCTAATTCTTTAGCGGACTTAGACCGTCGGGCCTAACACTTGGTATCAAGAGCCTTCGCGGGGAGCGACTTCCAACGAGCGACCGTCGACGACGAGACTACGACGTCATCGTCCCGCAGTGACGACTTGCAGACTTGGAGTCGTTGAGCGAACATGGACGAAACCATGCACCAGTCCCCCACGACATGGGCAACACGCTTGCCGAACTCATGCGCCAACTTCAAGCGTTGACGCTGGAAAATCGACAGGTACGAGCTGAAATGCAACAGCTTCGTGAATTGGCTTCTAACCCCCATGGTCATGCCACGCCAACTCTTGCGCCCAACACGTCGACTGGCGCGGAAGCGCTGCCGGAACGTCGAAGCGCACTCAAGCCGCAGAAACCCGAGTCGTTCGACCCAAGTCAACGCGACGCGAACGTGCGGACGTGGCTCTTCATGCTGAACAACTACTTCGCCGCGAGCGGGATGCAAGAGACGGACGCGCAGCAGCCGATCGAGTACGCTGTTACACTGCTGAGGAGCCCGGCCTTGGAGTGGTGGCGCCAACTCACTCAAACTGCTGTAAGAAGGGCTCAGACGGACGGGCATCAACAGGGCGTGGGGCATGCAGCTGCAACTTCGAGCTTAGGGATTTTAGCTTTGGGTGTTACCACGGTTCCGACCACATGGGAAGGATTTGAAGCGGCGCTGAAAAGTAGGTTCGATTTGGTGAACGCCTCCGAAGTTGCTAGGAAGCGTCTGCGTCATTTCCGGCAGATAGGCAACGTCCAGGAGTACACACGACGGTTCTTGAGCATCTGCAACGAGATAGACGGTATCACGGAAGCAGAGATGCGCGATCGCTACCTCGAAGGGTTGAAGCCGGACATAGCGGAAGTCATTGCGATTCACGAGTTGTCCACCTTCGAGTCGGTAGTCGCAGCAGCAGAACGCGTCGACGGAGTACGAAGCCGACGGGGTCGTGACGATCGCGATAGGGGATACAACAGACCGATCAACGACGCTCGATCGAGGGACGGACCATCGCCCATGGAGATTGGTGCAGTTAACAGTGACGGCTCACATAAAATGGGATTTAGGGGGAACTGTCACTACTGCAAAAAGCCGGGACACATGAAGCGAGACTGCCCACAGCTTAAGGAGCGGCAGCAGGGAAACGAAAACCGCCAGTAGATAGCGGGTCGCTAGCTGGTGTGGAGGTTCCCGTACCTGCCACGTCTACCAACGTAGAGGAGACGGCTTCGCAGCAGTCATCTACGGAGAATGAGGTAGACACTGTTGATCGTCCAGTCGTGCTTCTAGGGAAGCTTCGCGGAGTTCCTGTTAAGATTCTCGTAGATAGCGGAGCTAGCCACTCGTTCGTCTCTTCATCGTTAGTTTCTCGTCTCCATCTCGAAGCAGATTCAGCAGTCAACTTCAAGGACGCTCGCATGGTAGATGGGACGCCACTTCACATAGGACCGATCATCCGCAAGTTGCGCCTAGTGCTAGGACCGATCACAGTCAGGCGTGATTTGGACTCTGCGACGCTGGACGGATACGATTTTATATTCGGGAGAGATTGGCTATGGACGGTTAGTACTCAGTTCGATTGGGCTCAGGGAAGCTGCAGCGTCAAGGTAGACGGGGAGTTCCGGGAGCTGCCACAGTGGAGCGATGGGGCCACATCATCCACAGCTATCATTAATGCTGTTCGTGTGCGACAGTTAGTGAAGCGTGCGGCACGGATCTTCGCGGTTTTTCTTGAGGAGGTGGAAGCTGAGGAGGGGAAAGGAGGGAGTGCAGCAGTTAGTGAGAAGGCGACTCTTCCTGCTGAGGTGAGTGCACTGTTAGCAGAGTTCGCAAACGTCTTCCCCGACGAGTTGCCCCCAGGGCTGCCTCCCAGCCGAGCAGTAGACCATCGAATAGAATTGGAGCCGGGGAGCAGGCCAGTAGCGAAGCCGCAGTGGAGGTTGAGTCCAGCGGAGACAGAGGAGATGACGCAGCAAGTTAGGCACTTTCTCGCACAGGGTTTCATACACCCATCTAGATCGCCTTGGGCCGCACCGATACTTTTCGCACCCAAGAAAGACGGAGGGTTACGGATGTGCATAGATTACCGCGCACTGAACGCCGCCACCGTCAAGAATAGATTCCCGGTGCCGAGAGTAGAGGATCTTCTCGATGCAGTGCAGGGCGCTAGAGTCTTCTCAAAGATCGACCTTCGTTCGGGTTACCACCAGATTCGAGTAGTTCCAGAGGACCAGCACAAGACGGCGTTTCGTACGAAGCAGGGGTTGTACGAGTTTAGGGTTCTACCGTTCGGATTGACCAACGCCCCAGCGACGTTTCAGACGCTCATGAACACAGTCCTCTCCTAGGGTCGTTCGTTGTCGTTTACCTAGACGACATCCTAGTGTTCTCTAAGACGAAAGATGAGCACGTGCAGCACTTGCAGAAGGTCTTCGAGGTCTTACGGAGGGAGCAGTTATACGCTAAGCAGTCGAAGTGCGAGTTCTTCCTTCCAGAGGTCGAGTTCCTAGGACCCGTCGTATCCGCTAGTGGCATTAGGACTGACCCGAAGAAGATCGCAGCAGTACAGGATTGGGTAGCACCGACCTCAGTCAAGGAGTTGCAGAGCTTCCTCGGTTTCGCGAACTACTACCGTCGTTTCGTTCAGGGTTACGCATCGATCGCTAGTCCACTCACCGACCTACTTCGGAAGGGCGTAGAGTACGTTTGGGGTCCAGCGCAGCAGCAGGCGTTCGAGCAGATGAAGCAGTCGCTCATGTCTTCACCGACACTGTCGTACCCTGATCCCACTCGCCCATACTTTGTAGTGACCGACGCTTCCGATCAGGCCATAGGAGTAGTGCTTCTTCAGGACAAGGGACGCGGGTTGTAGCCGATCGCGTACGAGTCGCGTAAGCTTAGGGGAGCGGAGTTGAACTATCCCATACACGACAAGGAGGCGCTCGCGATCATCCATGCGTATAACGTGTAGAGGTGCTACCTAGAGGGGGCAGATAGTGTTATACGCACGGACCACTGTTCGCTTCGTTTCCTCAAGTCGCAGCCGCAGCTGAGTCGTCGCCAGGCTAGGTGGATGGAGTTCATGGAAGGGAGCTTTCACTACAGGATAGAGTACAAGCCAGGCGTGCGCAACCCAGCAGATCCGCTCACTCGCCCTAGTTGTCAGCTCGCCAGTCTCACAGTCACTGCAGGCCACCCACTGACAAAATTAGAAGGAAGAAAGAGGATTGAACTAGCAAGAATGAGGATACAAATAGCAAACCCTAGAAGGGTTGTACTCGCTATAGAGCACCCCACTATAGGCTAGAACATAAGATAATATTCTGACACACCCCCATAGCCAAAGTGGGGTGTAATCAGCAGAGCAGGCAAAGCAGTACAAGCTCAGGGTGGATCACAATGTCACCACACAATCTGAGCACAAGTTCAAGAAGAAATAGTTTAGAGTTCACAATTATGAGCAAAGCTAGTGGTAGTCACAACGGGCAAGTGAGGAGGAGGAGAGAGAGTGAGGGGAGAGGAGATAGGAGGCGACGGCTGAAGCTGCAGACACACGGGCAACAGGAGGCAGACTGGCACAGCGGCTACCGGACTAAGCGCCCGGACTACAGGAGTAACAGGCCCCGCGGCTAAAGTAGCGGCAGACGAGCAACGGACCCACGGGCGGCTGGCGTAGAAGTCTAGCTCACTGGGCTACCGGGACAGCGCCCCGGACTACAGGTGCTGCGGACAACAGTACGGCAACCTCCATGCAGCTTCCCCAAACAGTCCCACCCCCCCGACACGCACCCGCTGCTACACCGCTAGCTCCACTCCCACGCACCCCCCTTAAACCCTAAACCCCAGTCTCCCACACAACCACCCCCCTCAGCGACAGCTGACGAAGGAGGAGGAGGAGCAAAGGGAAGAAGGCACACCGGCCACCCCCATACCCGACACCCCACTGCAAGCGGCCCCCTCAGGTCGCCTCGACAGGCGACGGGAAAAGGGGGGGGGGAAGGCGGGGACGGGGCCGGGGCCGCGACGGGTAGGGCGACGGGCCGCATGTAGTGCGGCGGTAGGGCCGCAGGTAGGGCGGCTGGTGGGCCGCAGGTAGGGCGGCGAGTGGCCGCAGGTAGGGCGGCTCGCGGGCCGCAGGTAGGGCGGCGGGTGGGCCGCGAAGGTAGGGCGGTGGGTGGGCCGCGAAGGTAGGGCGGCGGGCGGCCGCGACGGGTCCCCGTCGCCCGTTGCGGCGCCTCCAGAAGGCGACGCGACGAACGACGGGGCAGACGCCCGCCGCACGCCTCGGAGCGCACAGCGGGCAGAGAACCGCTGCGCGCCTCGGGGCGCACGGCGGGCAGAAAACCGCTGCGCGCCTCGGGGCGCACGGCGGGAAGGAAAAGTAGCAGCGAAAGCGAGGTGGTAACCCACCCACAGGAGCGATCCAAGGGGATCGACCTGCTCTGATAGCATGACAAAATTAGAAGGAAGAAAGAGGATTGAACTAGCAAGAATGAGGATGCAAATA